CAGCAGTTACCCACGCATCAGTTGCGGCGAAACTGCATTCGATGACCCTATGGCCAAGCAGCGTTTCACGCAGTACGTTTGCCAGCATTCAATGTGAAGAAGTCGATGGTTTGCTGCATCGAGCGCTTCCGCTGGCCCTCCTATGCCGGCAAACCCAGAGAGGCAGAAGGCCTCGACAGTAGTGGGTCTCTTTCGACACGCGACAAGCGCACCCAGATGCTCCGATATCTCCGACAGTTCAATACTCTATGGGCTCAGGTAAGACTTGCGATCTGCTTCTGAGTTTGGGCGACGGGTGGGCCTTGGTTCTGCCACCGCCGGCAAGCCCCTGCCTGTGCCACCAGGTCCTTCTCTATCTCCTCTCCTACCTGGCTTACGTGCGTATTTCGTGCTCTTCGTCTTTGGCTTCAAATCTGGGAAGGCGCGGATGAGGTGGCGGCATCTTGGGAGAAGCTTTCTTTGGAGCTCTACACGTGGAGATCGGGTCGGCCTCTCAAGGGCCCTACACGTAAGTCACTGTCCACGCTGGCTCCCGCGAGGACCCTTGCAGGCCAACTGCGTCTGCAACTCTCTGGTTTCAAAGCGCTTTCGGTTCTGGCTGCGATCGGCAATTTCGAACACTACACCGTGGCCTTGCGTTCGTGCTGTTTAGTTATCCTCACCAAGCATGTTGACCTTCTAGTGCAGCAGGACGCTAGGAGTCAGTTTGTCGACATCGCTAAAGATATCAACAGCGCCTGGTCCAGGCGCGCACATGGCCAAGCTTTCCGCCGCCTGCGCGCAGTTAGAGCCTGCTCGCGAAAGAAAGTTCGTTCGCAGCAACTTCCTACTCTCATGGGTTTCGACGGGCAGCCAGTCACCTCGGAGAGACAAGCTAACCAAGTTTGGGCACAGCATGTTGCAAATATTGAAGCGGCTCCTGTGATTCCCTTCTCCGACCTGGAATGGTTTGAAGAGCAGCTCGGCCGCCTGCCTGACGATTTGATGCAAGATGTTCCTTTCCACTTGTCCGATGTTCCTACAGATGCGTCTGTGGAGCGGGTATGCCGACTCGCCAAATGCGCAGCAGCAGGCACGGGCGGTATCTCAGGAGCCATGGTCAAGAAGCTTGTTAAACCTATCGCACACCTCTTCTCCTTGGTCGTCGAGTCTTTCCTCTGAGTACAAGAACCATTGCAGTGGTAAGGGGGATGCTATTGGGCGCTGTTCAAAAAGGAGATCCAGGGGACCAGCAATGCTACCGAGGCATCCTTGGTTCCTCCCACTCGGGCAAAAAGTCTTGGGCGCTTCTCAGTTGAGCAGGGGCCGCCAGTCCCGGAATTCCTATCGGTCTACCACGAAACGTTCTTAGAGCAAAAGAACGTTCGAATAACAAAAACAATGTTCTCAGAAGCCCGATGTGTTAAATCAATTCAGTCCCAGCCAGAAATGTTCTAGGGACATTTCGTGGAAACCACAAAAGGTTCTTAGAACCTTGTTTGGTAGGCTTATGGGCACGCCAGGACGCTTCGCCACTGTTTGACTCAGAACGGATATTGCACCTCACCTACCGGCCCCAAGGGGCCTCGTCAGTACGGCGGAGTTGCTGGACTTGGGGTCGACTTGGGGGCTCTGGAGCGTAGGCTATTCCAACGGCTGGCCAAGGCCAGGCAGCTCACCGCTTTCTTTCTCCCGCTCGACGCTGTTCAGTGTTCAGGCATTTCACACGTCAGTGAGAGAGCTGGTTTTTCGCGCGGCTACCACCGACGGGGCTATCGCCTACATGCGCCGCCAAGCTGGTCTCCCCCCAGGAGCACGACAGGAGCTTGCCGAACACATCAAGAGTCACCCCCCGATCTTCGAAGCTCCCCACTTACCCAAGAGGCTGCACGCCCAACCTGCCTACGCCTACGATCCCACGGGGCTTACCACTCCTGGACGCGATTCGCTTGCGTTTCCCATGGTAGGTTCGGGTCCAGGGCAGCAGTTTTGGGACGTCGTGTTCAACTATGTCACGGGGGCAATCATGAAGAGGGTCCAGGACAGGTTGCTGCAACTTGGGGTTGAGGTCAGGTTCCCGATGGCTGCTGGAGGTACCTTACGCGCCAACATGCAGGGAGACGTCACCTATTTTGGGGCACTCTATGGTCCTTGCCTTTTTCGATGACGCCCTGTTCATGTGTATGGGCAAGGCTGAACGCATGCTCAAGTGTTCTCCGCTTGTCGCCGCCACAATGTTTGAAACCTTTGCCGAACACGGTATGCAGCTGCACACGGCCAACGGCAAAAACACCATGCTATTTTCCAGTTCCGAGGTAAAGGAGCTATAGGAGCCAAGTTGAAGCTATGGAGAGAAATGCGGGGGGGAACTCGCCGTTCCTACCCGACACCTTGGATCTATCACCTTGCTTGCGGTTCGGCAGTACACGCACCCAGGCACAGTACTAGATGAAGGGGGCTCCTTGGGTCCAGAGCTAGCACATCGCACGCAAATCAATACGCCTTTATGGAAAACTCCCGGCGTGTTCAAAGTCCCCGGCCTAGACAGGTCCATTGGCCTTATTCCCGTGGACTCGCTCATGAGCTCAAGCAAGTTTTTCAATGCAGGCACTTGGCCAGAGCTTACCATCGCGCAGCATGCTTCTCTTCCCAACGGCTTGGTGCGGATGTGCCAAACATTGGTTCGCAGGCACAGGAAAGACAGCACAGCGGCGCCCAATCATCACATTCTTGCCCAAGTGGAGACGCCTTGTCTAGAAGCTGCCTTGGCAGCTCATCGTCTCCGCCTCTTTGGCTGTCTCCAGCACGCAGGACCAGATCATCTGGTGGCCTTAGCTAGTCCCTGTGTTATGGAGTCCTGGGCGTCTTGGGTACATCAGATCATCCAAGACCTCAGGTGAATCAAGAAGTTTGCTCACAAGTGCCACAACATGCCCGACCCCTCAGAGGATCTGTTTGCATGGGAAGTCCGAGTCAGACAATCGGCCCTTGGCTGGGAAACACCGTCAGTTCCGCCCTCAGGTCCCAAGTCGAGGAATCGGGCCGCATCGTGGCCACCGAAATCGCCGAGAAAGCAAGTTTGAGGAGTTGTTCGCTGCAGGAGTTCCCAGACCAGTATTTGACGGAGCTCATCCTCGTCAGGCTGCCCATATCTCCGAGACCCCCAACCCCCAAGTATGCGAGTAAGTGGTGTCCTCGACCTCCGCGGGACCCAAGGGGCTCAAACAGCACATCGTTAAGAACCACCGCTCCTTTATCCAAAAAGTCCGAGAGATATTGAGAGACACCGCTACTTGCAGCATGTGGCACATGCAATTTACTTCCAGAAGGGCCTTGGCTGAACACATCGCCTTCGACTCGCCTAAGTGTGCAGTGCCTCTCCTAGGAGAGTCAAGAGCGTGTTCTGCGGAGACATGCCAGGCTCTCAACAGCTCTGGCCAGGAGGCGGCCAGACAGCAAAGAGCTGCGAGCCGTGGCCGCTGGCGTCCAGAATTTCCAGCAGTGCGTCAGCCAGGCCTTGCCTGTTCCCCGTTCCACAAAGATCTAGTATCTCAACTCTCGGTGGATGAAGCTCGGGGGATTCTGGCCATGGAGGATTACGCGTTCACTTCTGAGGCGGCCCTGAAGTGTTTGAATTATCGAACTCCCTTCCCTCTTCCGCAGCCTTCTCCTCCTGATGACAGGTTCTGACATGTGCGGCCTCAGGATTTCGCTGGTGCTGCTGCCTCTGCTCTTCCCTTCCATGTTAGGAGGCGAGAGTTATTCGTGTTCCGCTTGTTTTCAGGCATGAGGAGGCCTGCGGACTTGAAGCATCATCTAGAATACGCCTGGCCGTCCACTGCGTGCGGCATGTACTGTCTGTCAGTGGACGTCGCCATAGATCACCAGAGAGGGGACCTCACGCAGGTTTCGGTTATCAGCGAATGGCTAGGTCACGTGCGTGCTAGGAGGGTTCTCAATTCAGGGGGGGGGCCTCCCTGCGAGATGTGGAGTGCTGCTCGGTGGTACGAAGGCCCCCCCACCCCCCCTGCGGACCCAGGAACCTGTCTGGGGACTCCCTTGGTGCACGGCCCGCCAAGGCCTCCAAGTTCCTGCTGGATCCCAACTGCTGCACGCTCTCACTTAGCTTTTGGCCGCTCACATGGCGGCTGGCACCAGTGGATGGATGGAGCACCCTCTTCCCCCCACGTGGATCGCTGGAGCTCCCACCTCTTTCCGCTGGCCCCCTCTTGTCGCTCTCGTGTCAGCTCCTCACTCTTGTGCGGTGGATTTAGATCGATGCGAGCACCTTCCAGCAGACACAGCCTCCTCCCGCCTCCTCAGCCTCCGAATGCCCTCCCCCTTCCTTCCTCCAAGACACCCCCGGCAAGGCCAGATGTTCTCACGGTCCTGGTTCTCACAGGACCCTTCTCGGCAAGCCTCGGATGGCTCTCTCAAGACAGCAGCTAAGAAGACGTACTCTACTGGATTGTCTGAGGCCATCACTTCCAGCATCGTCGGACCTCTCAGAGATATGACCGCTCTGAATGATGAGGATGCTGACTTTGTTTTTGGCGACGATCCTGAGGTCCTCCGGCGTGGCTTGCCCGATGTTTATGCTTCTGACCTCGGGGACCGACATTTCTCAGAGGCCCCCGATGTCGCGCCTCGAAGGCGCAAGGGTCGCAAGGCTGGCCCAGAGCGTGAACGTTCCAGAATTCGGGCGGAGATCTGGGGCGAGGGGGCATACCTTCCGTTTCTGAGCGTCTCCCTGCCTCGTCCTGCTGTTGCCCAGGCCTGGCCTCGGGCCGCGGTAGCCACAGCTCCCGACGGACAGAGCGGTACCGGGCACGCCATGCGCCAAGCCGTCGTCGAGCAGAGAGCAGCCTCCCCTCCACCTCTTCCATCCTCCCTCCTCCTGCTCCTCGCCGCCAGATGGGGGCGCCGTTGCCTCGACTGGCCTTGCTCCGAAGCACGCAGGGGGCAAACGAGCCAAGGCAGTACCCTCGCCCGAGGGCCCTGCCCCTCCCCTCCCGCGGTGCCTCCGCCGGCCTCTCGGCGGGCCTCTCCGCGAACGGGTCGTAGTCCTCCTCCTCCTCCTCCTCCTGGGCCGCACGCAGATGGATTGGGCGATGGAGAAGGGGATCGGGGGGATAGAGAGGAGGAGAAAGAGGAGGGGGAGGAGGAGGAGGAGGAGGAGGAGGAGCAGGAGGAGGAGCAGGAGGAGGAGGAGGAGGAGGAGGAGGAGGAGGAGGAGCAGGAGAAAAGGAGGAGAAAGGGAGAGGAAGGGGGAGGAGGGGCAACCCCCGTTTGCCCCTGCCAGGGCCCCTCTGCAAGGCACGGCCCTCGGCGAACCTCGCGCGCCAGGGGCGGGGGGACCGCGGGCACCACGCGGCCTCGCCCTCTGTCGTTTGGCTTCTTCCTCCCCGCGGCTTCGGGGGACGTCGCCCGACCATCAGAGACCGTCGTCGTCGTCGTCGTCGTCGTCGTCGTCGTCGTCGTCGTCGTCGTCGTCGTCGACGCTGTCGCCGTCCTCGTCGTTGGTGTCGTCGCTGGCGTCCTCCCCGCGGCTTCGGCGGACGTCGCCCGACCACGTCACAACAGCCAGGCTCGGTGTCTGCGTCCCCCTGGCCAAAACGGCAGGGCGTACACACGGACCCATGGGCCCAGGGTGGCCCGGGCAAGTGGTGACCCCCACGGAGCGCAGCAGTCACCGATCATGGGCCTGGCATGGGCCAGGCCATCGACGACGACGACGACGACGAGAACGAGAACGAGGACGAGGACGAGGACGAGGACGAGGACGAGGACGAGGACGACGACGACGACGACGACGACAACGAGACGAGACGAGGCGACGACGACGACGAGGCCGACGCCCGCCGGCCGGAGGCTGCGACGACGAGCCAGCCGAGCCGCGCCGCGCTGCGACCGACGAGCGGGCGCGCGGCGCCTCCGGCCACGGCGCGTCGGCAGCCACCTCGCCCGCGTCGGGGCCGGCCTGGCGCGGCTCCGCGGGCGCGGGCGGGCTTCTCGAGGTCGGATCCGCGCCCGTCGTCGTCGTCGGCGTTGTCGTCGTCGGCGTTGTCGTCGTCGGCGTCGTCCCGCGCGCATCGCGCGCGCGCATTGTGCCCGCCGCGCGTCGGTCGAGCCGCCGACAACTCCTCTCTCATTCCACCTCCTCCACTCAAACCTTCTCATTCCTTCTCCTCCACGTCTTCCTCCTCCGCCTCCTCATTCCACCTCCTCCTCCCTTCCCTCCTCATTCCTCGTCCTCCTCCTCCTCCTCTTCATCCTCCTCAGTATCATTTTGTTGTTTGTTGCCCCCTCCCCGCCACCAAACAGCAAAACAATAAACCCTCCGATCCTCCCCCCCCAGCCGCCGCCGCCCCAGGCGTGTGGGAGCATCGTGGCGCGTGGGAGGGCCTGAGCGTCAAAAAGTTTGTCGCTGCCGACCACATGTGGCCTGGCCGCTCCAAGAATGCGTTTGGCAGTAGCGCTTACACCAAGGCCAAGTCCCTTGGCAAATCGCACGGCCTCAGCGACGCGCAATGTGCTGAGTTCGGGAGGTTTGTTTACCATCGGGCCTCGTCAATGTTTTGTGGCTAGATCTCTCGGTGCCCCTTCTGGGCCTTCTCTATATTTCAGCGCCACGCTGCACCTGTGGCGCCCTCAGTGGAACGACATGTGGGTTAGAGTCCGCACTGTCGGCGCCAGCGACTCGGGATGACCACGCAAGCATCGTAAGAGCACGACGGCTAGATGCCCCTCTATCCTCTTCAATCCTCGCTTTACCGTCGTGCAATGCCCGCCCCCTCTCTATCCTTCTGTGTGTCTCAATTTCTCTCTCGTTCCTCTCCCTCACTCCCCCCTTCCTCCCTCCCTCTCTCTCTCTCTCTTGCTCACTCGCTAGCTCTCTCTCATCACGTGGGCACATGCACGTGATGCCGCTCCTCTTCGATGTGCCACTCTAACAGGCAAGCCGCATCAGTCTGGGTGCGAACGGAAGAGCGGCCTAAACCCTGGTGCACCCCCGTTAGCTGCAGAAGCAAGCGCCTCGCTCGACACGTCTTCACAATCTAATGTGAAATCAAATGGCCTTGGACAACCAGACGCACGAACCGCATGAGACATCGCCATACCTTGGGATGCAATATCCTCACCGTGGGATTATGAGACCAGCGGGTTACTGGAGACATCGTCACAAATGTGGTGAAAGCAGAAGAAGCCGAGCAGGCCAACCGCCTGAGGCAACCGAACAATATGGGCTCGCATGTGCCCCGTGCAATACCCCACGGCGCCATCCCCCCATTTAATGTTGAATTCAGCGGCTCGCTCGAGACATCCTCGCAGATTGGGCGCGAGACGAGCCCGAGCTGAGTGTGAGTGGTCTGTGTGGGTGAGTCTGGATGTGGGTGAGCCTGGGCGCGGACGCCCCCGACGTCGTCGAGCCCGTAGCCGTTTGTGATCGAGCCATGTTTGAGCCGCCTCGCAAGAAGCTGAGGCTGGCAGCGTACGGTCGCCTCTCCCACGTGACTGCGTCGGCATTGAACCAACTCCTGACGCAAGTCACGGACCATGGCTTGCCCGACCATTTCTCTTGTAGTAGCCAGAGGGGAGGCAAGGAAACCATCGCCTTCGAACTGACGAATTTCGGACCTTTGCTGCAGCCCTGGACTGCTGCAGGCAAGCCCGTTACGTTATGGATACAACATCCGCTGGGGATGCTCGAGGCGGCGTGCAAGGCCAGCTTGGAGTTCAGTGCGCTTCTGTAAAATACACTTGACAGAGATGGGAATCATCTTGGCATAATATTCTACTCGGGCGAGATCGTTCCAGGAAATGCGCTCGGCGCGCAAAATGTCCGAACGATACTCTCGATGTACTGGGGTAGAACGCTTCGAATTCCCCATTCGATCAAACGAAGAATCCTGTTTCACAATAACTGGCATGCGGGCTTCGCTGGTCGACCGTCTCCCTGGCGGCGCATCCGAAGCCATCGAGGTGATGCTGCATTCGTTGTTCGGTCGACCTGTCGGCAATGGCGGCGATCTCAGACGCGGGGTGGCATTGAACATAATTAGCTGGTGAGAATGGGCCGCGCCTGGTGTCCGGGTCATTGAAGATTTTGATACAGGACGAACGTGCTCGCAAATGTGGGCTGCATCTGAAAGGCGCTGGAGCGCACAAACTGTGTTGCCTCTGCATGAACGCTTGCTCGTTCAAGTCGTCGGGGCTTCCCGATTCCACTGGCTTCCTCGTGTCGAGAACGAACGTCGACCTTCGCGCTTTCAAGCCTCATACGAAGCAGTCCATCCATGGCATTCAGCGTCATTGGGCAGAGATTGCACACACCTGCACCACCGCCGAGCTGGAGGTACAGCAGACGGAGTTCGGCTTTAAATTTATCCCACTTCACTCTTGGCGGATGAGTGGCTCGACGTGGACTTGATGCAAGTCTTCGGTTGGGACGGGATGCACATTTACTTCATCACGGGGCGCTTTACAGTGGAGGCTGAGAAGTGTTTGGAACCCTTGGCGTTCAACGGTCGTTCTACTGATGCGTTCAGAGTGTGCCTGAGTCAATTTCGATGGCAAGGCGGGCATTCACATGGCAAAGACGTTGTGCATGGCAAGAACAATTATTTTGGTGGCAGCGCTTCCGAACAACGCATTGTGATCCAAGATTCGAGATGTTTCTGCGCGGGATTGCTGTACCTAAACAGCTGTGTACAGGCGAGGTCGAGTCTGGCTTGCATCTGTGCCCCGTGGATCGCCTCTTAAGTGTAGTCAACACAGGGACGGTGTCTGCGTCCACTCTCGGTCATGCGATCGCGCGCCATTTGCAGCTTTATTCAAATTGCTATGGAGAGGAGCTGCGAAGGTCAACGCATCACTATGCCTTGCATTTGGCTCCCCAGATGATCAAGCATCCGTATTTACGAAGAACTGCTTTGCAATAGCGCAAACATAGAGCGTCAACGATGTTTGCGGACGACAGGCGCAGCACGAAGGCGTTCGAGAGAGGACTTCTCGAAGACGTAACTGTTAGACATCTGTTCGAGCTCCGCAGTTCACTTTAAACAGGTCAACTCATAGATGCCAAGTCTGCTTGTAGGACGGCGCCATTTTGGCATGCGGCCTGGTGGGTGTTCCCGCCCACGGTGCAGAAACTGCTAGGGCTGCGATGTGCCACAATTGAGTAGCTTGTGTGGATGACGTGGCTGCGTACGTTGACAGTCAGGGTCGCACTGCGTTTGGCCAAGTTTACGTTCACGCACGTACGGGCGAGGCAGGTGGACCTCGTACAGTGTGTTGCTTGCAAAGACCCGATCCTTGTAGAAACGGAGTGCGTGGTTGAGCCTTGCATCTACTGGCCCGTCCCCGACGGGCGGATCTCTCGAGTCTTGCTCCCAACGCGTCTGAGGCACACTGAGACGGGGGCTTGCTGCGTGCAGTGTGGGGGGGACGCTGGGGCAATCCAGGGATTGGGTCGACATCTTCAGAGTTTCACAACACAGATATTAGGAGATCTTGCATGCGTCGCGCTGTTTGAGCAAAGAAATGATTCCTTTGGATTCCCGTTATATGTATATCATATAGTGCGTGGTGTACACAGGCAGCACGGGCATTGTATGTAGTGCTACTGCAGCTTTCAGCTCAAGACGCTGCTAATATTAGGTTGAGAACAACACGAATAAGATATTATGTACAAACACGGTGTATACACAAACACGCAATCAAACTTTCAACGAAAACAAATACAGCACATTAGAAACATCAGTTGTGTTGAAATCCACATGCTCCATACCATAAAGAACATGGCACACATATAGAAACAAACCAAAACCAACATAATATGTTCCAGCTTCGGCAACCTCCAAATCCTGGATAACATGTTGCTTTCACGACCAACTTAGAATTAGGATCACGCACAAGATAGCTATCTCAGCGATCCAGGAGACAAGTAGATACAACCACCCCAAGCACTTAGCAACCACCCAGACGATTCAAGTGGTGTGGCCCGGACGATAATCGCGCTCCCTCAGAACGCCGACCAAAGCATCCCCTATGCGATCCCAACCGGTCGAGATGCCGGCCCACGCCCATGTGGGCACTACGGCCTCCCCGAAGATCCCAGCCCTCTCCCCCAAACGCTGGCGATTCATCACACGAGCCCCGTCTTTGATGGGGCTCCGACCCAAACATCCGATGCCGTTTTTTGTTCACAGCGTGGCTCCCCCGAGGTCCGGACCCCTTCCATGTGACCGGGTTTTCATCTGAGGCCGCTTCTTGACGGCCCCCGGGGCCGGTGAGGACCCAGAGAAACCGAAAGTGACCAAAACTTGCGGTCGCGATTGCTTCGCCGACGCGAAGATGTCAGGGTAGCCCACAGCCCAGACTCCGGAGGCACGGGGTGACGAAAAAGCCGGCCGCCCCGACTTTCTCCAGGCGCTGGCTGTCTGACGTTCGGGCTATACCACGGCTCCCTGCCGACCGCTCGGGACGGCTGGGCAGCCCCGTAGCGCCCCGTAGTACGCGGGGCGAGGCGCAGCTGCCGGAGAGAACCCCGAGGCTGGGGAAAGTCCGACAAACCCTGAAGCTGTAGCGAAACCTCGTCTCCCATGCAGTCAGGCAGCTTCATCACCCCCAGGGGAGGAACAGGAGAGAGGAAGAGGAGGAGGAGAAGGAGGAGGAGGAGGAGGAGGAGGAGGAGGGGGAGAGGGGATAAAAGAGGAGAGGATGAAGATGAGGATGAGGATTGTGATGAGGATGAAGATGGGGAAGAGAATGCGGATGATGATGTCAATGATGATTATGCTGCTGTTGATGATGATGCTGATGCGGATGCGGATGCTGATTGTGATGATGATGGTGGTGATGATGATGATGATGATGATGATGATGATGATGATGATGATGATGATGTGGCACGTCCTCTGCGCCTCCTTGCATTGCCCCCCCCCCCCCGTGGCACTTTGGAGTTCAGCGTGCCACGGA